CATCATCACGCCAGCAAGCTGAGAAGGCCTGACCTGTGACTGCGCTACCGAGCTCATTCCCACACGCCTTCAGCACGCTGCATAATGACACTTTTTGTTAGATGAGAGAGAGAGAGAGAGAGAGAGAGAGAGAGAGAGAGAGAGAGAGAGAGAGAGAGAGTCAGTGAGGGAAAATAACTGACGGACTGAAAGAAATATTGTATGGGTTAGTAGCAGAGGGTTTTAAACAAGGTGTGGCTATCGACGGCGACAACATTGAACTGACAAAGACTGAAAGAAAGCAGGCAGCAAAGTCCATACAAATCGACCAGACAACGAGGCAGACCAGCAAAACTACCGGAATTATTAGTCAGCTTGCCGGGTCCATACGCGGAGTTGCTGCTGGCTAGCTTGCATCCCGCTCAGTAGCCTGCACGCTTCCTTTCTGCTGTCAAAGTGCCGCTACACATTCGACCGTTTCGTCGATGGTATTTTGTCATTGCAAATTAGACACACCGCAGAACCTGTTCTCTCCACTAAGGCGAATCCTTCGGTCCATTCGTCCTGAAGTGTACCATACTCGTCATCTTTTTTTTCTTTTCGCCATTTTATTCGTCGAAGGATTAGCTTTGAGCTAATGACCGAGCGGGCTGATTCAAAAGGGGGCATTTACCTGTTTCCCCAGCAACCGCCTACGTAGGCCAGTATCATCCAATTAAAATTGCTCCTGCCGCCAACTGCAGCCCTGAACAGAACGTGAGCAGTGAAAAATCAATGGATGGATAAAACAAGCAACAGTATTTAGTTTATGGCTCGCGAGTCATAGCTTTCCGACCCCTGCTGTCGACGATGTAACAGAGAATCCGGTAATTTTTCAAAATAAAACATCTTTCAGATTCCGAAATGAATAAACCGGAAGTAATGTAAGCTATTGATTCTTTCTGTGCGGCCTGGTACCAAATGACCCACGGGGTCCGCGGCCCGAGGGTTGGGGACCACTGTTGTAAATCACATTTATGGGAGGAGCACACCACTATTTGGGAATCCCTCACAGCCTTTTCCAATTTAAAAATGTATTTTTTTATTTTTTTAAATACCACTCAACACCTTCTCCCCAGAGCCCCTCATGAATCCAGAGTTGCCCCACCCTCCTCACTCCTGAATCATTTTGTTGATGTTGTCACAGTTTTGACTGGCATGTAACTAATGAGCCTACACGTAAAAAGTCCAAAGTATTTTGGCCCGAAGCAAATGTCTGAATGGGGTGTGTTTGCGCACATTTGGAAAGAGATGCACATTAGTCAGGATATATGTACTTTATTCATATGGTATGTATGCTTGTTTACATTTATACAAAAAAAAAAAATACAGAATACAGTAGAGTTCTCACCCAGAGTAGCAGCTGGGCATTCATCATCACCCTAATAATAATTATCGTAATAATACTAACAATAATATCAGTATCTGCCTTTTTTTTGTGGGCCCACCAGACTTATTTAACATCTGGACATTTTGATTGTTCCACTGTGTCATATATATATATAAAAATGGCGTTCAGGACCAATAGGAACAACATAATTCAGGAGGCGCCACCACCTTGTTTTCATTCATTCACAGCTTTCGTCAAGAGTCAACATGTGAGAAGGGGCGGGGGGGGGGTATTGGGGGGCGGAACTGTAGCAGGAGCATCTCGGGAACCGTGCGGGATAAATGAGCTCCTTTTTGGGACAAATGCACATTGAAAAGCAAACCAACGTGGATTACAAAGGTGAGCAAGAACTCCGTTCATTGACATTTTTGTCGATTGTGTGGAAGTAATTCACCATTAGCCCTCCTGTTATGCCGCTTATTGAAGTTTACGACTCAACATTAGTATAAGACTTCTTGGTCTGGCCATGTTTGCCATCATTTTGTATTTTATATTTTAACATGCATATGTAGCGGTTCAAAATGACCCATTGTTAAGTTTAAGACTCATCCATCCATCCATCCAAACGTTCAGAAAAAAAAAAAACAAAAAAGATTGACCCAATTCAAGACTCAAAGATGAATCGTTAAAAAATTGGAGATGAAATTTCTCCTGCTGGCCTCGTTCTCGATTGTTAAGAAGATATGTTAGCTAATCATGCACTTGCTGAGGGTCAAATTGACCCATTGTAAAAGTAAATGGAGATATGAAAGAAGAAAATCAAAAAGGCTTCTTTTGCTGGCTTTGTTCGTGGTCACTTCAATGTGTTGTGGGTCAAATTGACCTGTTAAGTTTCAAATTTGACCACAAAAAAAATCCAAAGTTAAAACGGTCCTCTGATGGCTTTGCATGTGGTCTTTTTTTGTCTTTTTTTTTTTTTTTTTTTTTAACATAAGATACAGGTCAACTTGACCCGTTTAAAATTTCTCAATCGTTCAATTTTTATCGATGTTTAAATATGCACGTTTTCGGTTAGCTCGTCTCTTCCGATGGCTAAACATGCAGGCTTGTCTTGTTGACCCGCAATTATATTTGGTGTCGTAAAGAAACTAACATAACAAGAGGGTTAATCACAGTCATGCGGCAGAAAACAGGAGTTCAGAACATGATCGGCGTCTGCCCAATCAAACAAAAGGCACAAAGGGACTTCCGTTGAAAGTCACTCAAAGAGAACTCGATCCGTTTGTTTGCAGTGTGGATGATGTTGCCATCGGCAAAAGAAAAGTGATTGTGATGAAAAGGAATTGTCATATTATTTTAGAGACCATAACTCCCATCAGAAAACCCTGATTGAAACTGCAACTTGATCCTTCGACAGTACCTGAGACGAAGGTGGACGTTTTGAGTGAATCATGATTAAAATGATTTGTTGTCAACTCAAGTGTTTTATGGATATATTTTAAAGGAAAACAAGTAGGTGGGTAATGACACTTTCAGCTTGAAACATATTTTTAAAAATGTCTATTTGAACATAAAATCTCATGCAGCAATTTGAAATTAGGTTTGTCATTTAGGTTTTTCTTTCTTAAATTAAATTTAATATTGATTTTTTTTTGGATAATTCTTCTTTTCTGATATATTTACATAGTTGAACTCACTAAACATATTAAATAGTAATGTCAAATTTACAGTTTGCCCAGATTAGACAAATAATCAATATTGCTTTGTAGTCCGTGTCAGTTTTTCTTTTCATGTTTCTATTGATTTATTTTATTTTTCTTAACTCAAGTTAGGGACAGCAATTAATATTTAACACGTGATTTTTTTTTATTGTTTTGTTAAAATGAGCCACTTTTAAATTAAATTATATATTTTATTAAGCAACATTTTGAATATATTTTATGTTTAATTATGTTACATCAATTACATTTTGAGGCCAGTAATCGTCGACAAAAAAAAAAAAAAAAAGTTGTGAATGTAGCATCTGTACAATGTGCATGTGTATTCCTGATGATGACTCCTGCTTGTAGCTTTAGCGCAGTTAGCTTTAGGCACATCAAAGACATGCGTAAAAGCGGAAGAAAATGGACGGCTGGATGAAGACGTCTGCTTTTTGTTCGCCGCAAAGCAGCCTCCCCGAGTGGACGTTTTATAGAGTTAGCCTCCATGACGCTAATTGGCATAGCTTTTCATTTGCAATGACGTGAATCGGATTTCATTTGAGACAGTAAGGACAAAAGAGAGGAGAGACTTTTTTTTTTTTTTTTTTTTTTTTAACAGGCATGTCTTTAAGCTATGCTAGGCTAAAAGTGCTAATGAGCATTCATGGCTCTGTTTTGCACTCTTACGTTGCCTTACTTAATTAGCATCGTAGCTAGCATGTGTTTGAATACAGTGGAACCACCAAAGCCGAAGCCGCAGTTCAGTGAGCATGAAAGATCAAACAAAGAAGGAAAGAACCAGGAAGTGAAGACTCCAGATTGTGTGGGAGTTAAAAAACGGGACAGCAGTACACTGACAAAAAAAAAGTTGCGTTGAATTTACTCAATGTTATTTCATTAAGTGGCTGCACAAAATAAAATCTGGATCCAGATCCTTATGATCCATTTTTTGAAGTAGACGATACATCTACTTCCGAAATGTATCTAAATCCCGATGATTATATTGTGTACGACTTGACAAAATAAAACCGAGTAAATACAAGACAAGAAGTTTTTTGGGTTTTTTTTCAGCATAGCAGCCACGCTCACGGTGCCACTTCAATGACAGCTAATAACGTCACTTAAAATGTTGATGAACAATTAGCGAAGCTTTAACAATGGCTACAGTCGAGATAATTGACATGATTTCCTATGGGCATTGTTTTTTTTTTTTTGTGTATTTTTTTTAACTATGAAAAGCCGTTGTCTTCTTTTTACACTTGTATGACAGTCAAGAAAGTTTTAAAAAATAATAATCTAGACAAGATGATTTGCATGATTTCCTATGATGGATAATTTAAAAAGAAAAAAAAACCCAATGGTTAACATGTCGTATAACAGTTAAAGCATGTTTTTAGAAAATATTTATTTTATTGCATGATTATTTGCATTCTTTCCTTCAGACAAATGTGTTTTGAAGGTTCCACTGAATACGAATGTGTTCCTTTTCTCGATGTAACGCTTACCATATTTACCCAGCAGTTCGCTAACCACTCCGGCGAATGTGTGTCATGCAGATGTGCTCCTGGAGTGTAACAATAAATAAATGGAGCGCACGAGCCCCACGAGGAGACTAAAATGGAGATGATGGGCGAGGTGAATGGTGAGGAAGAATGCGGGATATCCAGTGAGTGGAGGTAGCAGGGGAAAAAAAAAACAAAAAACATAATCAGCATTGTCACAATCCGGCATTCTCTTCTTCTTTGCTTAAAGTTTGTGAGGATGCCATCAAGTCCAAGAGAAGAAATACTCAGGGGGGGGG